TTCAAAGTTAAGCTTCAGCTAAATGGAGACCAGTGTGACAGTGACCTAAAGACCTTCCTGAAGCCTGCAGTAGTGATGGTATGGCAATAAAGTAAATTGGATCAACTCCCTAGTATAATTTTTAAGAGCCCTAACACCAGGGAGAGGTGAAAATACATTGCTGGGACAATGACAAGTCAGCCAGTCACAAAACTGTGTCTTAAGTGCTAAGTAGATTAACCTGAGAGGTATTCTTTAGAAAGTTCAAGGGTTCAACTCTTGCTCTCAGTTATGCTGAAGTCAAGGAAGTAAGTCTATTGTCACTTCAAGAAGTATTTCACCTCAATTTTTCACTGCAGCTGCATGCAGCTGTGACAGATCAAAGTGCATCAGCAAGATATTCAGGAAGCACCACCCTTCCTCACACACACACACACACACACAAAACCCAGCCCCAGGCTAAACTCTTCCAGTGTCAGTTACAACATCAAAATGAGAAAACCTGATGGTTTTGTTCAAGAGAACATCTTTTACTGCTCAGGAAGAAGCACAAAGCAGCAGGTGGCATTTGTTTTTCCCTCACTGAAAGAGGTCAATCCCCTGTGCTTCAGCTATATATGGGATTTTTCCTGTCAGTTAAGTGCAACCCATTTCTGTGATGGCCCCGATACTCCAGCACAGTATGTACCCTGTGGCTGGGAAGGCAAAGTGTTCATCCAGCTTCTTCAAGGCTGCCACTGAGACTGTCTCATAAATCATCTGGCTGGAATAACTCAGGTATGGCTTAATCCAAAGCCCATTGAAATCAGTGGAAAGCTTCCCACTGACTTCAGCCAGCTCTAGACTGGGGCTTTATACAACCACCATCTCAGATGTAGGACACTCTCTGCTTCCAAGGAGCAGGATAAAGCCTTGACTTTGCCATAGAGCAGTTAGAAACATAGCATATCCCATCACCCAAATGGCTGATGAGGTCCTATTTTCCCTGACCTGTACAAATCTCATGCAAAATGCTAGCAGACAGGCACAGTTAACACTGCCATACTTCGTCCTGGGTTTCCCAGCCTATGCCTGGAAAGCCTTGTTCCCCCACGAGGTACAAGATCTCCTGGGCCTCCCCCAGCCTGAACACATGCAATAAATTTGAGAGACTGTGGGAAAGCTAGACAAAGCTCCATATGCTTTCCCTTGGCCACATGCCCCCTATACAGGTCTGCACTGCTACTCCAAACATGCTGATAGGCCTCCAGAGATTCCAGAAAAATACAAATAGTAAATGAAAATTCTGGCTGGACAAAATTATGTGTGGGTGCCACAAGCCTGCATAAGGAATCCGGGACACGTGGGATACCTTGAAATAATAAAAGGTTAAAATGACAAAAAACCACTAGGTTTCTGAGTTGGCGGCAATCTGATTCTGAGTTGCCACAGCATGAACTACTAGCCAAAGCATATGCCATAGGTGAACCACACTTGGTCTTTAAAAGACAAAACCAGTCTCTCCTCAGGATCAGTCCTAAGCATATCCAACCAGAATGCCAGGGCTACACAGCACAACAGAGCATCATTTCCAAAAAGCTTTCTAATGGAAAAACAAACAAAGCAAAAAACCAAAAGCAAACAACAACAACCATCACAAAATGTAACATCAGCCCTCAAAGATCAAACTTGCACTGAGCATCTCCAAAGATTAGGCATAAGTGGCTGAATATCAGTGGCTCTAGCATCACAGACACTTGGGAAGCTGATGGCACATGTATCCTGACCAGTCCTCACACAGTCTCTGGCCTCTGGGGAACACACAATAAGGTCAAGTCACTCCCTCTCAGGCATGTGGTGCATGAGTCCATGCTGCTACAGGGCATCTTCAGCCCTCGATCTCTCTTGTGCATGGTGTCAGGCTGGGAAGACAGGATTTCTGCGTGCCTTTATCCCAGGAAATGGCAAAATGCGTCAGTGTGGCTGGCTGAATTACAAATAGTGCTGCTTGACATGGCTGCTTGCACTTCTGGGTTTACTGCTCAACTCAGAGAAGCCTAAACAGTGTCTGGGAGATCTAGCAAACATGTTGCAGCCTACACAAAATCATCCGTCTGCCCATCTCCCAGCGGAAATGCTTACAACCAGTGGTGGTTTCCATATAGCCAGGCTACAGCCCACTGATAGGAGGATACAGGGAAATGCCCTGTGCCCAAGCAGCAGTTACCAGTGTTCAGAGCTGATGGGGCATTTTCAGCCTCCATACCGCTCTTTAGGACCACACAATTCACCTGACAAAACACTTGGAAGTGTTCGGAGAGAGTGAGGTCTGGCAAGCAAATTGCTGTGGCTTAAGACATGTAAACAATCACGTTGTTGTATTTTTAAAGGTGAAGATGGTCTCCTAATCTCTAAATATCTAAATTCACCAAAAACAATCCAGCATGACATACTCGTCTGTTAATAACTGCTCAAATGCTGCTGCCTTAGCTCAACGTGAGCTGTGCAATGCAACGGGGATAGGTGCTCAGCTCCTCCCTAGTGCTGCCCCTTCTGGGGCAGGTTTTGGGAGGTCCCAGCTTCCAGAGTCACATCTGAACTTGAGAATCAGGCTTTGTTATTGTTAAGGCAAACCGAAAATAAAAAGACCAGACTAAATTATTTTTAAGATCTCAAGGTTTATAAAGAAGTCTTATGACTTTTAAGGAGTCTGACTCATGATACTTGAATGCTTGAAGCTGGCAGCAGCAGAGGGAGTACAGCAAGATTTAGCATACAGAAATTTATTGCTGAAGGCCTTCAAATGTGTGGGAAAGGGCACAGAGCTCTTCTGCAGCTATTCGGCAGAAAAAGGGACATAGACTCAAGCTTTTCTCCTCTGGCTGGGCTGCCACCAAGCTCACCTCCTCCACAGAGGTTAACACACAAAATCTCAGCAAAGCCACCTCAGATATATCAAAAACACTTCCCAAAAGCAGGCATAGGTGGCTGGGAAGGAGGCAGTTTCTTGTGTCAGCAGCCGTCACTCTTAGGCCCAACTACTTGGCTTCCCCAACATGGGGAAGGGGCAGGGGCAGGCCTCACTATCAGGCTGTAGGAGTCCTTCAAGGGGTACCAGTGAGCTGCTAGCTGCAGCTGTTGCCTCCCCAGAGTTGTTTCTCCATGCATGATCATGGACCAGAGTTAGGCCCATGCATAAAATTGCAGGTTGCACGGTGATGCACAGATATACCTGAAGTCCTGGCTTTCAGCTTTTATGGCACCAAGGGCAGGAGACCCCTAGCCCCAACCCACTTTGGCTGTCACTGCCTGTGCAAGCCGGCCACACTGCATCACGAATGCCCAGACCACCCCATAGCCTCTGCACACTCATGTAAGAGCTTGGATGCCTTCATGGGGAAGGTCAAGTTTTCCATAGTAGAAAACACCTCCTGGACTACACCCCCCAGCATCTTCCACCAGCCGACCAGGACCTCTATTAGCAACAAACCCTAAAGTTTCAGCCCTTTCCTTTGTAAGATTTTCTTAAAGCAGAAGTACCCTAGAAGTATATAAATACTGTGTGCTATGCTGTGCACTGGCACGGGCTCTGCAATCCCTCCCATGCTGCCTAACAAAAATATATTGCCCAAGGCCCAGGGGGGAAACCTTCTGGGACGAGAAGGCATCTTTAGAACTACAGCATATTTGCTCCTCTATCTTTTGGAGTAGGTCAGCAACCTGGTGACGGCTGCATTTTGCAAAGGGAGGCTGCTGTCTCATTTCCCTCTGGCCACCACACTTTGTGTGAGTTTATTTATCTGCAGGCAACACTGCTGCTGCTTTCCAGAGCTCATGGGTTCAGCTTATAGCCTGACGAGAGCTCGCATACCCAGTTCTGCACGGCAACACTTCCTTCAGAAAAGAAAGTGACCACTGCATCTTAACTACCTGGGATTCACCCCTCAGATATCATTGACATCCATCACGGAGCCCTGCCGCAAAAGTAGGGCCTTATTAAAAAGTTCAAAGCAGGTATACAACATATATTTGGTATTGTATTCTGCTGACTTCCATTTAAAATTGCTCTGAAAATGTATTTTCTCTCCTACAGCATTCAGAACCCAAAACCACCATGGTTTTGTCAGTACAGGAAAAAGATCAGAAACAAAAATGAAGGTCATGTTCAAAATTAAATACAAACATGAGAATAAAATGGGCTTAAACATAAATTCCTTTAAAAAAAAAACCAATGCTGTGTTAATAAACTAAATAAATTCTTTAGAGCAAGGAAGACATTACAAAAAAAAAATGAAGCCTGACTTTCTCCCCACTTACTCCAGTATAAATTATAGGAAATTCCACTAATGCAAATAGAACTGTACAAATGTAAAATGGGGGTAGTTAATGAAATGTCATTCCCAGTATTTCCATGCTGCTTCTTTCATAAACTGGTATCACTGTACCCATGTCAAGTTCTGTTCTCATTTGCACCAAAGTAAACCTGTAATATTTAATAAGGGATAGCAAATGTTACCCTTGCTGCCCACATAAAGTGGTTGCAAATTAATAAATAAATGACACTACAAATACAATAGCAATTGTACAGTAATGGCAAGCAATTCACAGATATACTATACTACGTATACCAAGGGTATCTCAGCTTTCAATTATCTTACAATTTTAGCTCTGTGTCTGAAAAGACAACACAATCCCATCTGTGCAACATTCACTCACATGGCATCTGAGCATGAGTTTTTCTACCAATAATTTCACATGGCCATAGTCTACCTTCACTCTTTACGTTAATCCATGTACCAAAATAACTAGAAGCCAAGGCATTTAACACAGCCTAAGGTAATTAGACACTAGTCACCCCTGATTTCCAGCCTCTCCCACAATAACTAAAGCTAATAAGTATTAGCTAAAGATATTTTAAAGCACATACCGTTAGCAAGGACTCTGGTTAACTATAGCATACTTTGCAATTGAAGACAAATTGTCAAAGCCACAGATAATCAAAGGCAAGCCACCGGCACCATTTTCTATATGTAATACCTCACCTCTCTGCTTCAAGGCGCATTTCCTCACGCTTTTGCCTCCTGAGCTCTCTGCGGCGTTCAAAGTCATCCATAGTGGGTGTTCAAGTGTTCAGAGCTCTGGAAAGATCCAAATCTAAAAAGGGAGATGACCACTTAGATGAGAGAGAAAACACAATGGATGCATTTAACCGAGTCTATTTAGTTTTGTTTTGCTTTCTTAACTTCATTGTAACTATTTTCTTTTTCCATCAAAAAATTTCACTTCCTCAGTACTGTTGAGATAAACAAGATTAATGAAATGCCTTGTAGGATAAACATAGCCCATGCCTGCATTCAGTTTCCTAGTTAAAATTAAATCAACATGCTTTAAGTAAGGACTGTATACATCTGCTAGCCACAGTCTAGCTATTTGTAACGTCACAGGTCTTTTCTACAAACAAAAGCAACAATTCAGCAG